CAGGGGGGAGCCAGGAGGGCACCACCGCCCCGGGAGCCCCGGCCGGGCCCCTCCGGGGGACCGTGCCTCACGTCCCGCCAGGAACGAGCTCGTTTCCTTCTTAGCTTCCCTCGAAACTTTGGTTTCCATCTCTTACCGACTTCCCTCAGGCACTTTTTTTCCTTTCCTTAATTCTGTTGAAGTTGCTTTAAGGATTTGCAAGAACTTCTGGGTCCGGGTTGGGTCTGCTCGCTTCAACAGTGAGGAATCGGCGCGTTGCTGCCCAAACTGGGAGAGATTTTATTAATTAAGATTCCTTCGCTTGCGTCTAACTCTCCTTCACTGTGTTTAAAAATACCAGCAAAACAGTTCTACTGAACTTCTACAGAAACTTTAAACCACACTTACATCTTTCTGTAGAGATTCTTTGGCCTGCCTAGTTACAAATTTCTCCTTTTTAACAGGTTTTTAAGGTGGAGTACGCTTACTCTTGTTAGCTCTTTCCCGTGAGAAAGCATGGCTCCGCTAAAGGTGCACGGACCTGTCCGGATGCGCAGCATGCAGACTGGGATTACAAAATGGAAAGAAGGGAGCTTTGAAATTGTAGAGAAGGACAACAAAGTGAGTCTAGTGGTTCACTACAATGTTGGAGGAATTCCAAAGACATTTCAGGTACACCAAATATTAAGGCTTTTCTTTGAGCAGTGTGTGCGTGGATTGTGCTCTTTTGTGAACAGCTGTCCTCTTCAAGGCTATTAAGTGTCACGCAAACTTCCCTCTGTCACTGTTTCTTGTTCCTCGTTTCCTGAACACTGATCTTTTTGAGTAACTCTCCTGTAAATTACTCATGTGTATTGTTAAAGGATCTGCCAAGGTTGGCACCGAGATACCACTGAATGGGAGGAACCAAAAAGCAGAGAAAAGTTACCAAAGTATTGTGGCTCACGTGCTCAGATTTTTGGAACGTTTCTGTTCCTGGTACATTTGCAGAGTCTAGAAGTGAAGATCCTGAACACTTTGTACCAGCAGTTTTCCCAGCTGAAGAGTAACGGTGTTAACACACTTGTAACCTTTTGCTCGTTTATACAAGACTGCTGAACAGCAATTGTTACAGTTTTAGCTTTTACACACGCCAGGCAATGGTTTCCTCACTGGGAGGCTGATGCAGATCACTATTAAAGATTCTCTTGCAATATTCAGCCTAAATTGCCTTTTTTTCATTCTATAGTTGTTTTCAGCTCAGTCTTCCTAGTTTTTTGTGCAAAATGCCCCAAATTGAAAGAATGCGAAGGAGTGTTTTTCTGTAAGAAATTTCTGTCTGATTTAAAAATATGTAGGGGATGTAAGAGCAGCTGCAAGAAAAAAAAATTCTATCTTATTTAGCAACTTTGTAACAGCCTAAACTGTTCGAAATGTTGCCTTCTGCTTTTTCGTGCCACAGCTGTTTTTCAGCAGTAGTGTCCACCAGACCTTTCTCCGAGCCATTAATTTCTGTGTGCAGGCTCAGTGAAAAAAAGTTCACTTTATTTTTGAAAGATCAGGTTTTGCTGCCTTAGTGTGCTGAAAAGTCTCAGCAAAGAATCTGGTCTGTGTTGCCTTGGAATCAAGGCGTGAGAAAATCATTAGCTGTGGATAGTTCCTACCTCTCTTACTGTAGACTTGAAAAGAATCATCTGCCTTCTCACGCACGATGCTGCGACTGCGTGTTTGCTTTAATCCAGCGTTGGACCATGTTGCTTCTGAGAAGAGTGGTCTCCTCTTCCCCTTGTGCCTTACCTGGGTGCTTGTTCTCACGCGCTCCTTTCTGCCTGGATGAGTGTTAACATGGTGTGACAGTGACTTGAAAGGTGGGTCCATGGGGAGGATGAGCCTACAGAGCAGCTAACCGTGGCCTAAAGGGGCAGGTTTTGCTCCCAGCCTCTCGCGTCTGCTGGCTCTGGCACTCGTCAGATCTCTCTGTGAGCTCAGTGGAGGGTTTTCACATGAATTAATTCGGGAAAAGGACTGACCATGAGATCTGGTGGAGGGGTTGATACAGCACCATGCAGCTAGGACCGCAGCAAAGGAGGAGGAAATGCCCGCGTATTTAGACCAATTATTTTTGTTTGGATGGTGGTTATTTTTCAGTGGGATCCACTTTCTGGTCCTGTTCATCTTGAAGCAACACAAACACTGGCACAAGAGCATTGGTGGGAGCGAGCAGCAGGCAGGGAGAGCTGCCTGCCACTTGCGCTGCAGGCTTGCGCTTGAGTGTAGTTTGTGTGAGCCAGCCTCAGTCTGTCACAGTGCTCTTGCGTGCTGCTTCAGATGTGACAAATTCCTGATAATTTTGCTTTAGAAGTAGCATTCCCTTTTTTTGACAAGCTGCTCCGGGAGAACTGTGGGTGATTTCCCCACATTTTTTGCTTTTCTGGAACATTTGGATGGATTCAGGGTTATATTTCTTTCTACAGTGACTGGTGCATCATCAAATTTCTTATGTCAGATGGTATGTTTTACTGACATTTCAGAGCTTTGACTAAGTTGTCCTAGATACTAGATAAGTATTAAGAGAAATATTTCGTTTACCCCCACCTCCCAAGACTTTGTGATGCTGACTGGGTCATAACAGGTGCATAGAGAGTGTGGATGGAGCCCTCATGATAGCATTTTGAGTTGGAAATAGGTTGTTTTGCACTGAGATGGTGAAGTAACTGTAATTCCTTTGCACTGGCTCAATGTTTTAACAGAGGATGAAAAAAATTTGGAGCCCCCTTTTCAATTCTTAGGTCTTTGAAGACATTTTTAGCTTATATTTAAAAAAAACCACAACCACACCCCCCAAAAAAAACCCAAAACACAAGGAATGAGCACAAAGTATTTCAGAAGTGTAATTTTCCCTGCAAAATAAACCCTTAATTTCCAGTTGAGGTGGTTTTCTAGCCTTTCTTATAAACTGCTGTTGCGTTTAGATTGTCTTTCCAAGAAGCTAGAGATCTGCGTGGAAAAAAAGAAATCTCACTGATGGACATGGAGTGCCTTTTACTATCTCAGTCTTTTATATACCAGAACAACTTTAAATAAAAATCAGGAATAATTTTACTTTTAAACTTGTATATAATTTGAAGGAGACAATGCAGCAATGTATAGGAAAACTTTGGCATTGGAGTGTAATTAGTGTTCATGTCTATAAATTCATCATTGTTGTTTAGATCAGTACTGTGGCAGTACGCAGGTCAGGCCAAATTAGGAGAAGACTCCAATCTGATGGGCAGTGGTTTACTCTGTCTTGTGTAGTGCCTAATGACCTTGGCTGTGGTTTCCAATCTCGTGTGAAGCTTTGAGTATAGCAATATACTGGCATGGAGGTCATTGTGTAGCTAATGCCTAATCTTAGGCAGGGCTAAAGAAGCGGCAGCAAAATGAAGAATTAAGCAAAAAAGGACAAGGGAATTGAAAATGAGAGTATGCTTAGGTACATATTGTCAAACTTCCATGCAGTCTGCAGATGTGAGATATTCTTTTGCTTCCTCTGCTTTAGGAGTTACCCTCAACCTGTGTGGATAGTAGAACCTTCACTGAACAGCCAGTTCTTATAGGAGACTTAGCGTGAAGTAACAATTAAATAATGGTATAATAAAGTAGCAGCAGCATTATTAGGGAGCACAAATTCTTATTAAAATTACTCTTGTGCTTGACCATAACCCTGAAAGTTTTGACACCATTTAATTGTTATAAGTTGCATATAGACTAAGCATGTTTCTTATTGACTTACTGTCTCAGCAAGTTTTTTAAGCTATGTCAAATCTGTCTTCCCTGAAAGCAAATTATAAAGTGAGTAGAAGTTTGTACTTAACATTTAAAACTTCCCCCATTTTAAATTATATTTCAAACTTGATGTGGAAGTTTCAGACAGCTAAGTGGGACTGTATGAAGCTCTTATTTCTTTACGTTCGAAAATGTCACACTCAATAGCAAAGGAAATTTCAGAAAGCTTATCCAGGAATATAGGGACTATATTGAGCTATAGTGATACTGTCCTTTCAGTTCTGTCAGCTTCCAAGATCACCGATTGCATTAATTCTGTGACGCTTAATGTTTGCTCGAAATGGAGCAAGGAGAAGTATTTCAGTGCGAGTGTCTCTTACTCTCTCTGTTTGAAGTGTTTTGTTTGAATTTATAAGTATTTTGGCCTTTTAAAAATGGATTTATGTTTATAGTCACTTTCTTGTTTTCAGCTAAGCCATAACATTAAAACTGTGACCTTAAGACCAAATGGTAGAAAACTCTGCTGCCTGATGCTAACACTAAAGGATACCAGCTTTCTGACAATTGATAAGGTACCATTTAAAGATGCAAATGAAATGCGGATGTATTTGGATGCAGTCCATCAAGACAGGGTTCATACTGGTAAGTGCAATTGTTGTAAATCAGGTTAATAACAGTTTGGAGAGGGGTCAGTGCTGTATTTTCTTTTTTTTTTTTTCCATCTTTGGCCATTTTGTCCTCCTTGTGTTACTGACTTTCTTTGTGTTTGTGTAAATGCTTCTTTCTGGTCCTGAACCCCAATTTTTGTTATATACCTTTCTCACAATGTACCTTTGTCATGCTGAACAATAAGCAGAGATTAAACATGTAGGAATTGTTTATACAACTTATTGTTGTAAGTATTTTGAAAAACTCTTGTCTGTTTATCACACATGCATAGTCTCTTTCCTTGTTATTTTACTTCTTATTTTATTTTGTTCTTTTTAGGGATAGGAACTTTACTGCCAACTGAGTAAATGACCAATATAAGGGATATCCATAAACATGTGCTTATGTCTGTGCACTCAGATTATTGTACTGTCTGTTGGCAAGAAATCTAGTGTGTCCCTTCCAAAATCAACTCCAGCTAAATAACGTCTTGCAAATAAGAATGCCAATCAGTTAAATGACAATCAAATCAAATGTTGTGTACTTTTCCTGTCAGCTGGGAAACCCTCTCAGGGATCTGGCAGCTTTGGAGGTGTGCTGGGCAGCAGGACCACACAGAAGGAAGCTAATAGGCAATTCTCTTATATAGAGAACCAGGTTTGTTTAATTGTTCAAATTTTTCCTCTCCTTTAATTTTATTTCATTCATTTCCTCTTCTCATTCTCTTATTGTATGTTGTAATAGCACTGTAAATACTTATTTTGCATCCAAAGTCTTTGTAATCTAGAGGGCTTGGAATAGATGTATACAGGGTGGTTGGCAATGGTGTGTCTTGCTCGTGAGGAGCCATATATTCTGTGTAAGTAAGAAAGGTCAGTGTCTGGCTGTGAAAGACAGAATATGTTCTTCATGCTGAGATATCAGTCAGGCAGAGAAGAAGCAGAAATAGAGGGAAAGTACATGATTAAGACTTGCTTCTCACATAGTTCTGAGTATCTCCTTGTTTATACTGAACACCTTATGTAGCAGCTGAACATGTTATAGTCAGCATAAGTCTTAATGAGTTTAGCAGACTTCAGCCAAATTCAGCTACTGAATTTGTAGCGTTCTGCTCAGACTTTTGTGTAAATTTTTTAGACTTTTCCCCGAAAGTGATTTTCCTTCAAAATATTTTTGTTCTTCCTTTTCTCCCTGCTAAACACAGATTTCATGGTGTATCTACTGGCTTTAATTTACTTTGTTATCTCTGTGAATATACTTGTATTACCGCCCTGAAGGAGAATATTTCTGATGTTGTCCCAAAACAAATTTTACATGTTGCTTAAAGGCAATCTCACAGTAAAAACTCTAAGGCTGTGTATACGGGGGTAAGATTAGACATGTTTAGTTTTCAAGTCTAAAATTGACCAACATTCCTTAGTCAACCAACTATTAGCTCTTTCCATTGCATTACATGTGGCGCTTGCTTGGCCCAAGGCTGTCAGGGCGCTGTTCTAATTGTGTGGTTTTTAATATGGGTTTTCTTTTTTTTTTTTTTTTTTTAATACCACCCAGGATTGATCTGGGGATAGTTAGGAATCATGCCTTGGGTTTTTTAATGTCAAAGCATGTAAAGGAGATTTTAAAAACTCAAGTTCAACTGACTTAGCGTTGGAAAATGAGAAGGGAAATTGGTTACTGCAGTAGAGTTTCATGTTTATGACTTGCATCGATACAGTCAAAATTTTACCTATGTCTAATTAGTGTTAAACTCTCTTAATCTATTACCAGTAGCATTTTTCTGCTTTTGGATGCTACACTGTAGCAAGTAGAGCAGTGGTGTAAATGCTAGATTAGACTAAAGATGGTAATGTTTTTCACTATTTCCGTTGTCTCCCTGGCCCCCTCCACTTGGGTTTTGCAGACTACTCCCAAAAGAGTGACCGTGGAAAGTAAGGAGGAAAATCCGTTTCGCAAGGTGCTGGGTACCCCAGCGAGAGTGAGTGTTAAGAATTCTACTGGAACTGGAACACCTAGCAACAGGGTGAACATTTCAGCATCTCCTGCATCATCAGTCCCTCACAGAACGGGCTTGTTGGAGAATCGGTAGGATGTTATCCTCTTATTATGATATTGTTAAAATTTAGCTCTTTATAGAGCTGCAGGTGGAACTCGGTACCCCTAGAAGTAAGAAGGGAATATGTTGCTTCCTCTGGTTTTGCTGTTACTTTTAACAGGATGTTAATACGTGCTTTTCTAGCCTCTGGCTGGTACTGGCACTAGAGCTTTATGAACAACTTAAGAGTTGGGCAGACCAAATTCTTCTCTGTATGCTATCTTATAAAACTGGAGATTGTGGAAGATAGGTGCAAAATGCACAGAAAGCATTGAGGAGTTCTGTTCAGTTGGAAGAGGATCATTTACTAGCCTTTCTGAAAGAATGACCACTTCAAAAATTTTCTGTCATCAGTGAAAAGAGGAAAAGAACACAACCTCCTGGTTCAGAAATGAGTGAAGATTATCCCAAAGAGAATGATTCTTCAACGTAAGTAACTGTTGTTCCTAGTTTCTGATTTTAAACGCTTTGTTCATTTGTAAACATAAATTTTTCTGAAAAGAATGCTTGGGTATTTCCTGTCTCAGCAACATGGTACAGGCCAGCCACTAGTCAACAACTGAACACGCTGGGTGCTTGAAAGAGGGTTTGCATTCAGGATTAATGAGAGAAATATAACCTGCTCTAGCAGTTGGTTTGCAGGAGCCAGCACATACAAATTTTGTGTCATCTTTCTTTCGTCAGTTTAGTCAGGATTGTCATATGTGCTATATGTGTATAGCAATAGGTACCTTCTTTATTAAACTTGCTTTGACCCTTTTCAAAACAAAATTTATACAGGGAAATTGCCATTTGGAGCATAAACTCTGTGTTTTTGAAATTGCATTTAATCATAAGTAAGAAGGCTTGTTTAAATGAATTGGTTAAACTTATCTGCGAGTAAAGTTTAACTGTTCCATAGTCAAGTATTAAAGGTGATAGGAGAGAAATGCTTTAAAACGAGTTGTAAATATCAAGCAGGAATATCCTGTATCTTCTATAACTGCACTGACTCCCACTCTTGTTTATCTGTAGGAATAATAAAGCCTTGAGTGATCCAGCATGGAAGTATTTGAACAGTAGCAGAGAGAAACAGTTGAATCTGAAGCAGGCAGAGGAAAATAGGACATCAGGTAAAAAAATAAAACTAAAGCCAAATGATACCTGGCTCTGACCAGTACGATTTTACCCCTTTGATATTAGTTTAGAAAGTTGCTGCACAGGTGGTTTTCCTAATCTGCTTTCCTTGTGCCGCTGACTTTCTTGGTTCCTACAGGGCTGTATATGAGATGCAAAAAACGTGCCTTCGTTTTCAAAGCCTATCCCGCTCTAGTGTGACCCTGACCTCTATACTTGGGTGCTGATGCCAGCCCATGTGCCGGCTTGTTTGAAAATTCAACAGGCAGCTTCAAACTTTGCTCCAAGCTGCCCTTCCCCTTGGGAGGGGACTCCTGTAAGCACCTAAGGATTTCCTTTTTGCTTGCTTTCTTGTTTATTTTTAAAGCTTTCCTTTGCTGTTAATGCCCACATGAATTGTAGGCTGGTTTTTGTGCTGAAAACGTGCACTGTTTGCTTTTATTTCCCTATCTCTTCCCCAGAACTTAGAGGGGGAACTCTTTGGGGCCAGGACTTCTGTTCTATTTGTACCAAAGTTCTGTTGGATACTGGTGTGTGACAAGGTTTTATAGACAATATGAAGTATTGACAGTATGTACATAAGCTAGTGAGCAGTACCGTTCTTCAGTTTTACTAATAGATACTGAGCCTCTTTCCTCCTAAAGGGGAATGCATTCAAGATCTTGTTTTTATGGGGGATGTTGCTGAATGCATTCTTTTTTTAGTGCAGCTCTGATGGTGCAAACATGTTGCTGGAGGAGCCAGTAAGGTGAATGTTTATCTCTGAATGAAAATCTGGTTTGCTCTTTAGAGTCAAAATTAGAATCTGTGAGTGTATACCTGCAAGTTCAGGTAACAGTATTGCGAACTTCCTTCATATATCTGCATTTCTGAAAGTTGCATGGCTCAAACCGCTTCAAGCTGGGATAGAAGCAAATGTTTATTCATTACCCAAACTAAATTATGCTGTGATTCACCATAATGGGTATTTTTTTGACTCTTGAGAGCTTTTTTTTATGTGGCACCATCTGAGGCATTAGAGTCTCAGGATCTGACACAATGCTATCAGAACAATGAAACAATCGTATTTTGCCCCAAGCATATAGTAATCTACTGTGGAATTTGGAGTGCGAAGAGAAACTGTTTTCACTTCTGCATATTTAGCTTGAATTTTGAGAGCACGGTATTAGAAATCATTAGTGAGTTTTTTGTTATGTGTATGTTGTATATTTGAACAAAAGGTGGATATTTATTATCTTTCAGATAGTTAAAAAGTCATTGAGTGGTCTTAATGTTTTGTATTGCAATTTGGATTTGATGGAGATTATGGTATTAAATTCAATTAAAACACCAGCATGTCTTTACTTACATATGATTAATATTCACATTAGTACTTCTAAGTATGTGTGTTAGTACTTCCCCAACCAATTCTGGAAGACAGTGTTTGAGGATTTTTAAACCTTTTGACTAAATAGTTTAAAACGAGTTGTATATTGTATAAATAGCTGAGTTACCTGGAACAAAATGACCTGTCTCTTTTTCTGTTTTCCAAGGTATTTTACCACTGCAGTCGTCATCCTTTTATGGTAGTCGGTCCTCATCAAAAGAGTACTCCACTGGCAGTTCCACCCTGGACAGGTAGGACTGATTCACTAGCATGAACTGTAAATGACAGTTCTTTCCCAGGAATTAGGATCTTCAGTTTCCTGTGTGTTTATCACATGATATAAGCTTATATGCATAAAATGTGCACACACACACATATATATACACACACACACATATATATTTCCCCCCCGCACCCAGGAGTACAATCTAGGTATTCAGTGTGGCTACAATTGCTCTAGTTACATCTACAAACTCCAGTTACTGCTTGCAATAGATAGACTTTCTAAAGTCACTCAAGTCAATTATAGTCATTGTGAATGACTGATCCAGATGATATCTAAACTCTGGATGGTTCAAATTCTATATAAACTCTGGAACTTCAGACTGAATCCTTGCTTCATTTTCCCAAGTAGATAAATGGCATGAAACTCTATATTTTAATAACAGTATTTTAGTAATACTGAATGCTGCTGAGGTTGGGATTCTTCTGCGTTAGACACTGTGCAATCAAACTGTCGGTCTTTGCCCTAGATAGATGAGATACAAGATCAAGGAAGAAAAGAAGCATTGTCCATGCTTTACACATGAGGGACTGAGGTCCAGAGTGATTAGGTTACAAGAACAAGAAGCTGAAAATGAAGATTCTGGCCCAGATGTGAATTTTAAGTATATCTGAGGAGCAGTGATCTCATGCTACACTATCGTTCTTTCTCTCATCGTACAGTGTGGGGAATTGTTAAATATCTTAAAGACAAAAGACTTGGTTACACTGCATGCACA